ATCCCATCCCCATCCCCATCCCCATCCCATCCCATCCCCATCCCCATCCCATCCCCATCCCATCCCATCCCATCCCCAGACCAGGCTGCTCCAACCCCAGTGTCCAGTCTGGCCTGGATGGCCAGGCCAGGAGGAATGTGCTGCACAAGTTGCCTCCAGCAGAACCAAAATCCTTCCTGGTGTTTGCCTGGAGAATGCTGGAGCAGCTCCATTCACAGTTCTGCTGAATTCCTCTCTGGGAGCCTCTGCTGGCTTTCAGACCATGCCATGGGCTGTCCATGCCCCCACCAGGCTCTCCCAAGCCTCAGGCAGTGTAAACCCAAAACGTGCAAATTCAGCACAGAAAAGAAGTGCAAATTCAGGGCGGCAGAAACATTCTGTCGAGTGGTTTCAGCAAAGTCAGATAAATACCACAAAGACAGGAAAACATGTGTTTGTAGGTGAAGAATGACACATTCAACCCAGTTTTGAAACAGAAAGCAATCCAGTGAGCTTTAATTTGAATGTAGATGAAGACTTAAGAAGGGGTTTGGGTGGGATTGGTGGCAGCTGAAATGGGGTTGGACTGGAACCAATCCTTCAGATCACCTTCATAGCCATGGACACAGAGAGTGATTTCGGGCAGAATTCATTGAATGATGGGATGGTTTGGGCTGGGAAGGACCTCAAAGCCCACCCAGAGCCACCCCTGTCCACCTCTGTGGGCTCCTGGATCAGGAATCCACATAATTATTACAATGTGTGAAACAGCAGAAATTTCATCCTTTCCCCATGGAAAGGGAGCTCAGGCCTTGGCAGGGGCTGCCCAGGGAGCTTTGGAGTGCCCATCCCTGCAGGTGGCACCTGGAGGTGGCACTCAGGGTGCCAAGGTGGCCATGGGGCACAGCTGGGACTGCAGGGGCTGGGAGGGCTTTGCCAGCCCCGGGGATTTGGGGATTCTGGGATCACCAGCTAGGGGGAAATGTCAGAAATGCAGAATAAATGGGGTTGTTCTGCCTAGGAAGTTGCTATGAGGGGAAGAGGTTGATGTTTCAGGTTGTGCCACCAGGGATAACCAAAAGACTTTTGTTCTGTTGCTTGTGAAGGGTTTATTCCTTTGCTGGGGGCTTGCCAGGGCTCAGCTGACATCCTGAAATGAGCTGCAAGAGGAGAGAACAAGGAGAGCAAGGTCAGCTTCCAGCCCTGACTCCCCTCAATGGGCCCAACATAGGAAATTCCTCCCAATTTCTAGAGAAAAACAGTGCCCTGGGACATGAAATGTGATCGTGGAATTCCCTTTAGCTGCTCTGTCTTCCTTCTGTCATCTGCCTGTGACAGAAACCTGCAAAGGGAGGCAGGAAGAGGAAAATGCCAATTTCTGAGGGTTTGTTCAGATGGGAGGAGCTTGAGGGTAACACAGAAACACCAGAGACGTGTCCTGGAGGGACAAGGAGAGTCTGAGTGTGGTGGGCAGGATCTGCACCTTCATTTGAGCTGAAAATGTTCCTGCTGCTTCTCCAAAGCCCAGGCAGTGCTGACACACCAGATCCTGCTGATACACCAGATCCTGCTGATACACCAGATCCTGCTGATACACCAGATCCTGCTGATAAACCAGATCCTGCACACACACCAGGTTACCTGGAGAATTGCCTGGAGGATCATCCCCAGGAGCTTTCATGTACAGAGCAAGGCACAGCACACATTCCTAGCCCAAACATGTGGGAGTTACCTCCCATCCCATCCCATCCCATCCCATCCCATCCCATCCCATCCCATCCCATCCCATCCCATCCCATCCCATCCCAGTCTGGCAGGTACAAACTCAAGGCTGAACACGTTTCTTTTCCATCAGTATAAAAAGCTGAGGAGGGAGAAGGAGACCCCGAGCCCGTGGAGGAGGAGCCCAGCAGGGCTCTGCTCACACACTCACCTGTGCAGGTGGCAGCTCAGGTGTTTGGGCTGGGCTGTCCTGTCTGACCCCGGGAATGGGATGTGCCTCTGCAGCACCAGCACGAGCTGTGAGAGCTTCTCCTGCAGGGCCTGAGCCTTTCCCTGGCCTGGAGCCCACCAGGAACAGCACTGCCAGCTCTGGGGCTGCTCCTGCTGGGGCCCAAACCCAAATCTGCTCCCTGGAGCCCCTCTCTGCATGGGCACCCCACCCTGGGCTCCCTGTCCCTGTGTTGGAAGAGAAAACCAGTGCTGTGCCCCCCTGTTGGGAAGGATGAATTAGGGAAACTTTATAAACACGAGTGCCTAGCAAAAAACTTTGAGAACATGGAAAATAGAAACGAAATAGAAATGAGAGCAATTTTTGACTGTGGGGCTGAAAGCAACTGAATGCCTGAAGGCCCCTTTGTTTAGATAATGTTTGATGCTGCCAATACCAAAAATCAAAGAGACATCCTCCCCAGGCATGGCAGGAAGGGTCCCAGATAAAATTTAGAGATAAAAGCAGTAAAACATGGTAATATAGTGATTGCTATAGGCTGCATTCAAATGTCAGAGAATTTGTGTCTTGTATTAGATTGGTTAGTGGAAATGAGAATATTCAACATGGAAGAAGATTTAATGTATTGTAAACGGGAAAATCTCACTCTTCCTCTCTTCGTTCCTACTTTCTTAAGCTCTCTTACTCTTTTATGCTTTCTTTTTTTACTCTCGCTCTCTCCCTCTCTCTGTCCTGCTCTGAGCTGTGGCTGCAGTTCCTGGCAGGGCCTCATATAAACCCAAACCCTACGGAATAAACTGCAAACTTTAACACCAGAACACAGAGAG